AGCGGAGCGACCGGCCTTCGCCTACTAGCACCTACGCCACACCCCTCCGGTCCGCATTCTATTTTAATTGAATCAGCCTATTACAATATATGCTAGGCTTTAATAGAGTAAGATTACCTCTAACAAGAAATTGGAATTGGAGTTTGATGTTTATCTCTATTTGGTATTAGTAGAATTAGTATTTAGGCTTTAAGTTAAGGCATAAGAGATAGAAGTTGAATCACAATCTATCTGCTATTATTCTCATAATTTTCCTACATTATTTCTGATTTATTAACTTTAGGATTAAGAGATAGGAGACATTATCTAGATCGACTAAAATATAGAGTATACAGTTCATGGCGTCCGGTTCCTATTAACTTTTGGCACGCCCATTTCCATGTTACTTCTCTAACAAATTGCCCTAGTTGTCTAAATATTCCTGAATAATTCTAGTAACTGTAGTAGTTTGCCTATCCCTGAATTACTGGATTAGACTTCGATATCAGTGCAAGAACAGATAAGCTTTTGTCCTCACAGATTATACGTATATTGCTTTTGAAGTTATCTATAGCTTTATCAGTAGGTCTTATCATGATAACACCCATTCTATTTCCAGAAGTCTTATTCTTGTCTGATTCTTCTTTAATGTAGAGTCCCTAATAATTGAAACCTGTTGATATTAAAGTTATTAGTGTTTTCGACCTGTTAAAGGTTAGGCCTCTTTCATTAAGGAATGCTTCGACTACTTTCATTATACGGTCATTCATTTTAGGGTTAACACAAGTGATCATCAAATCGTCCATGTATCTTATCACATTTATGTATTTGAAGGAAACTGCTTCCTTTACTTTCTTCTCCAGTCCATCCTTGGCAATTATCGGAGAGATTACATCTCCTTGGGGCACTCCAGCTTCACTTTTACTAAACACGCCTTTGTATATCCCAGCCTAAAGCCATTGTTCGAGAACTTGGAGCGGCATCCGCCGCTCTTGTTGATAGGAATATTTTGCATAATCCAATCATGATTAATGTTATCTAAGAATCCTTTAATATAACCCTTAATTATCCATATAGGGCAATATATACATGCTTGACCGTCGAGGTGGCCGTGACTAAGCCTCCTTACGGATCTGATTAGATCACCAATTACTAGCAAATAGCTAATGGCTAAAAAATAAGGGAGGATTTCAAGTCGATGACATTTTGACATCCAATAAATTAGGAGTCTTGTAGAGGAGTTTACCGCATTGTGTAATTAGTACCGCAAACATAGGACAGGATATCCTAGTATAGCGTTTTGATTTCTACTAGATTTGAGAAGGAGATTGCAACATCAATATTGTTATCGTATAGTATTTTATCCTAATCGACTTCGTCGATCATCTTTTAGCCAGATATTCTCTTAGTATTAGATGATAATGGACTTTATAAGGGAGCTAATAGTAGGTAGAACAAACTAGAAAGTGGTAAAACGTAATCCAAATTTGTTTATATATAAACCCGGCCCAGGGGGGCGGGTTCCCGCTGACGCGGCAACCCAACCGTAAAGATCTTCGCTGTAAATTAACCTGATTATTCATTATAAAACAAGGGACATGTATAATACACATAGATTATATTGACTTAGCGGAATACTAATACATAGAACTATAGCGTGTATAGTAGATCGATTTAGAGTATATAAAAAAGATGATAGCAGTAAAATCAATTTTTGATAATATCTGTAGGATTTTTATTCAGAAAATAGCTCGTTAGTACTTTAATTAAGATGGAGTTCATTTCCTGAGTGGTAGTATATAATAAATTGCTTATAAAACTAGCATAAACTATTAAGCAGCTTACCGAATATTTGCTTAGCGTCACTATCATTTTTGAGGTTAAATAATCTACTGTTGTTAATCCAACCTCGATCCCCCTCATCGGGACTATTATACGGTTCATCGAATTTCATGGACTCATTCGATTCCCTTTGATGGGCCCCGCCCGATGAGGTTGAGGCTCTAATATTATTGCTTTTTATTGGAATCTTCTTTAGCTGTTTTCATTAGATGGTCTATTTAGCGGATTAGGTGACAATTGAGATAGGGTAGAGTCAGTAAGATGGTGTTTTATAAGACCGGAGAAATAAGGGTAGTTCCAAAGATGAAAGGATCCTTCGGATCGGGAATTAGAAAGCGATCGATTCAGAAATGCGGTTTTAGCCCCTATCCCTTACACCACCTGATGAGAAAGACCATAAATAATTATTTCTAAATACCCGTGTTTGTATTATTAGAACTATTGAATCTTACCTATTCCTTTGCTGATTATTGCTTTCCTCTTATTCATATTCGTCATCTTATTTATTCATATTCATCATTATTTATTACGCATTTATTTAAAGCCACCGGCGTTACAAACCATTTTTTCCAAATTTAGTGGCTGAACATCTTTAGAAGTAGGCTTAATTGGAAGTATTTTAGATTCGGAGTAATTAATGGTTACCTCTCCTTAACCTTGGGCATTAATTAAGTATATAGTAAACCACAAAATGGTTCAGCCTCAGTGTAGATGGTTTATCTAAGTTTTTGAATGGAGGCAATTATTAGCCCTACAGGGGCCTGGTTGTAATTTTCTATTTTCCATTCTATACTACTTATACTAATCATTTTTGGTCTACAGCCTTCAGTTGTCAAGGTTAATATTTAGAACCTTGTACAAAATTAAATCGCGCCGCGACGTAGGGCCCCCCTTAGGGGGCCCCCGTAGGGGGCCCCCCCCCGCCCCTCAAGGGGGCGGGCCGGAGCGACGTAGGGCCAGCTAACCAAAATCACCAGATACCACAATAATAGATTGTTAACTCTAATAGTTGACTTGCATGATTCTCACTAAAATTGCTAGTCAATTAGATCATGTACTAATGAATCTTCTAATAAACTTAACATGTACCAATTGACGAATATATGTTTCAATATTCATTAATAATTCCAATAATACTGGTTCAAACCTCGTGGCCTGACTCGTCAAGCAGGGAGAGGCGGATCGGTAATACTACCAATCCATTAGTATGTAGTAGCAGAAGTATCCAAAGTTTCTATTACCAACTTATCAAGTTCGATCGACTGAGTAGATCTCTAATGGATGCTCTGACCAATTATTTCTGCTATTAATTCTTTAATCATGGAGATGAAGCTTATTTAAGTAACTTTAACCAACTCCGTTGGTGTTACAGATGCCAGAAATACCTAATTACTAAGTATACTAATATTACCTTTAGATTTACTGGTTAGGCTTACTATCAAATTGAAGCATTAAACACTAATTTCTATGTAGAAGATAAATCATATTAACTCTTCACTGCCCTGAATCTTGATTATCTAATACATCGACTAGAGTCGATTTTAAGCTTAGTCTAATTACAGATATCCATTCAAGCAAACTCCAATTACAATAATTCTGATTTTATTCTTAGTTTCTCCTTAGTATTAAAGCCTACTACCTATTTACTAGATCTAGTCATGACTAATATTGAGATAGATTAGTAGAACCTCCGGTTCGCCTTAATTAATATTTTCTCCTAATACTGCCTATAATCAATTGCCTAATTAGAGCTATTAATAGTCTAGTTCTATTACTGATATCCATTACTTAGAACAGGTTGTTGCTCTATCTATTTTATATGTACTTTTCTACATTAACGTAAATACCTAATTCCTAAATACTAAGATTGATTATTACTATGCCTTTACTACTGGTTAATTCTAATTGATATGCTTACTGATAATGCAATGCCTTGCCTATAATCAATTGCCGATAATTAAACTATCAATTAGCTCAAATGTTAGAAATTCCTCTCATTTTCACCCACATGGTCTTACTTGGTACGTTTCTAGTCTTGCTATATCTACCCTCAACATTTTCCCTATTTCACCCCCTTCGGGGCCGGTCACGGAGCGACCGGGGCGCCTAGGCGGGGAGGCGACTATCAGTCGCTTCTAATGAAGTATGGAGAAAATTCTAGCTGCTGACGCGGATCTTTAATATTTTCAAGATTTTGGATCAGGTGAATGTTAGCGAATATCTATTAATCCTGATTTTTGTATAGACCTAATTAATTAAGAACCATAGTGAAGCAATTGGAGCGACTCCTAGCGGCTAATTGCCTGGAACCTAAAAGTTAAATAACAGTTACAACTAAATTGTGATCTAAAGGCAACCACCGTATGGTGGTTTTAATTCGGAATAGAGCTGACGGTTAAACTCAGTAAAAAAGCTAAAGTCCTGGGGAGCCGATCTGGTCGCGGGGCGAGCTACGCGAAGATCGATAATTTGGTATTTGGTTAAATCTTTAAAATTCTTAACACAGACCTTTAATTAAGTGATTCAGCTTAGCTGTTTTGAAAATGTTGAAAACTGTATTTGGTAATAAGGGTGTAGGTATTAAATAAAGCTATCTGTCTTAACTATACCCAATAACCAAAGAAGATATTACATTGCTCTATAAATACTCTAATTTGCGTCATATGCTTATTAAATTTCTTATGTTGTGGAGCGGCATCCGCCGCGGCTTCAGTTACGCTGGGAAATGCTAAATTCTGAATCAGGTTAATAGAATGTAAAGTAGATAGTCTAAATAGAATGCATACTCTAGAGTTGCCGCGGATGCGGGAACTCGCCCTTCGGCCGAGTTGTAGAATAATAGAGTTAGTTTAATTGTAGTCTAAATACTACCTATCTTCTTATATGGATTATAAAGGTATAATAGATTCAACGAGATCTCTTAAGGAAATGTAATACTTAATAGGTGTTTGTAGTAATATGCAGATCTGCTTTGCAAATTGACCTGTATTAGGCCCTCAATCAAATGGAACAAGGTTTGGATTAGATTCATGTAGCATTTTGAAGCCATCGTAGCATCGACAAGAAACAATCTTTGATTCTTTTACAGCCAGTAATAATATCGAGAATGCATACCCATAATTAAAAAGTGCCGACCTCCACGATTAATTTGAAAACCACACGATCTTTTATTGTGTGAAGAGGATGTAGTTCAATGGTAGAATATTGGTTTTGGGAACTAATGGTTGTAGGTTCAAGTCCTATCATCCTGATGCACTAGTAGAGGAATTGGTAGACTCAGTAGACTCTAAATCTATGGTATGTGGGTTCGACTCCCACCTAGTGTAGTCCTTGTATATACGAGTTACGCCATTTTTCAGAAACTTAACTAGAGCAATCGAAGCCTCTCTTGCTTGATAATCACAAGAAAAAGCTTAAATGGGGATTTCTAACATAGCAATTAATTACATAAGTAGGCCCAGCTAAGCAAAATAATTAATTTCGATTGCAACTAAACTTGGGACCTAACCTGACCACCTTCGGTGGGCTCCGCGTAGCTTATTTAGTTATTATATTTACACTAGAATTAAGATTTCAATCAACCTAGTTGATCTAAATTAGTTAGCTTCTATAGAAGCTTAAATAGCTTGTCAAATCATTCGAGAAAGTTTGAGCGGCTGGTGTGGCGTAGGCGAAGGCCGGCCACTCCGCGACCGGGGCCCCCCTTAGGGGGGCCCCCCC